ATCACTAGGGCAGGCTGTATCAGATAAGTCCACATATCGGTGGTAGATTCTAAATGTCTGCCCTTTCTGTCTGGTATGGTGAGAGAGGTGGGCCCTGCCCTACTTTTAGAATTGCAGAGGGTCAGGGGAAGTTAGGGAAAATATCGTAGACTCCCGGCCCGCCACTTATTGTTGGTTTGTGCTTAGGCAAGATACTGTACTTCACTTTGCCTCGGTTTTCTGTTGTTAATGGGAGGATGAAAAGGCTTAACAGGGGTGAAACTGGGCAAGATAAGGTACAGAGGCAGTGATTGTACCAGTGAGAACTTGAGCTCTCGGGAAACATGAGTTAGATACATGTCTTAGTTAGGGTTTCTGTTGCTGTGAAGAGACACCCTGACCCTGGCAACTCTTACCAAGGAAAACATTTAGCTGGGGCTGGCTTATAGTCAGAGGTTTTAGTCCATTACCATCACGGCAGGAAGCATGGCAGCATGCAGGCAGACATGGTGCCGGAGAGGGAGTTGAGAGTTCTACATCTTGATTCATAGGCAGCAGGGAGAGATGGTCCCCCTGGGTGTGGCTCAAAGGCTGCCTCAAAGCCTGCCTGCCCTGCACAGTGACACCCTTTCTCCAGCAATGCCACACCTCCTAAAAATAGTACCTACCACTCCAAGCATTCAAACATGAATCTGTGGAGCCATACCTGTTCAAATCCACCATATAACACACTTGTCTCTTGGCAAATTAGAAGTTGACTGGAAAGCTAAATATTTGAGTCATACATGTAACTGGAGAATCAAAATGCAATTCTTTTATTTAATACACATAGGAATTTTTATTGTAAACACTGAGTTCCGCTTTCCAGATCAACCAAGGAAATTAAATACACAGGTAACTATTCTTGCAGTTCAAATTCCCATTTAGCAAGGTGTTCGAGAAATGATCCTTCAAAGAAGAAAGAGGAGAGAGAGGGAGGGAGGGTTTGTTGTTCTTATTCAGAAGGGGCTAGAGAATTAACATTAAACTCAAAAATTTAAAGTTGATTCCTTCTATTATGTCATTTGATTGACAAGTATACTCACAATAGAGTTGAGGAACGACAAAACATTACAAGCCAAGGGGAAATGATTATAGGATAATTGAGGGCACTGTATTTTTTTTTTCATCAAGGAAATGGTGGCAGATTGAATCCTCTAAACTCAGGTTCCCATTCGGAGTGGGAAAACAGTCAGAGAAGGGAGAGAGTCTTAGAAACAGGAGGAAGCTGGAGCAGCAGGGACCTGAGGGAAGAGGCAGCCCCAGGGGTCTGGGAAGACAGGGTATCCATGCTGGAGCCAGTAGGGGAATTTGTGAAGGTTTTGATTTTCTGAAATGTCAGAGCTGAGCAGTAAAGAACGAGAGGGCATTTCCAGCAGCATGAGTGACCCAGAAGTTCATTTCAGTAGGGCCAGCAAGATGAGACGATTCAAGGCAAGGAGTCAAGTGGGGCCATTTTAGGCTTATTGCGTGTTTGCAAGGTTTGGCCTTTGATTTGCTAGGAAATTTCATGGTTTTTTTTTTAAACTGCATTTTCTAATGAAGCCCACCTGAAAGCAGAGGTAGTGAGTGACCACGCTACCAGCATCCCTCTGAGAGAGCAAATGGAACGACCACGCTTTTGTTGTGGCACACACACAGGTGTTAGTTCCCTGTCCCAAGCGCTGACCCAGGAGAGGACTGTAGAAGGACATTTGTCCTTGAATTATCTTCCGCGTGCAGAGAAAGATCAAGTTACCAGTGGATGCTGCAGACTCAGCTAAGCAGCTGCGGTTGTGCAGGAGAAGGCCCCAGGGCCAGTCCTCATTCTGTCGGAGCTCTGTGGACGGGCTCCTTATGCTGACCTCTGGTCACCAGAGGGTCCTCTCAGTCTTCCCCGGGGGGCCAGTACCCCCGTCTCTGGGATCCAGATCATGCGCCTCAGCTGTGTCTTACTTCCCAACCCTTCATGTCTACCTAGCAGACTTATTTGACCATGGCAGGTTCAAAAGTATTTGGAGGTTGAGGCCATGCTCCCCTTTATCCATGCATACACCATGGACTCTGTGGCTCGGAGGCCATGAAAATGGTCTGGCCTACCCAAAACCATAAGACCCCTCTTAACATGTTCTGAGATAACTCAATTTCCAGGTCCTCTTGGGGCCACTTCTTGCTACTCACATTTTTCTGGCATGGATTCTCACAGGAATTAAAATGTCTCTTGGTGCTTTGGCCAGTTTGTGTTGGAGCAAGTTAGTTGCATCTACTTGATGTCTGGTTAAAGCAGGGTCTAAACCCGCCAGCAGATTCACATCACATGGATTAGGAAGATGCCTAAATCTCCAGTGGTCTTAGGCAGGATACCACCAACATACCTTCAGCTGGCTGAATGACTGAGCCATATCTGCTTGGCCTGTCTGCCTCTTCTAGGTCCTACCAGTCAATGGGCCGGGTAGTTTCCATTTATCAGAAGGGGCCAAATATGTGTCTCAAGGTCTTGCAAAGTTCTGTGGTGCAATTTCTAGGTCCATAAGAGTGCTTTGTACCTTCCTGTCCACTGTGGACTCTCAGGGGCCTCTCTGGGCACTACCGTTGTGTGGTTTTGAGGGTCCTAAATGCAATGAAAAGGGCAGAAGGAGGCTTCAGAAATGAATCCATGTCTGGTAATAAGTCCATAAGGTACAAGCAGAGCAGAAACAGCTGACTCAATGGATAGCAGCAAGCACCTGCCAAGAGCCACCTCTGCCTGGATGCTGTAGACAGAGGAGCGCGTGCCTACCTTTCTTCTCTTGGACTTCCTGGGGATGCAAAACAACTTCCTGACCTTTGTAACCTCGCTGTTGCTTCTCAGAGCCTTAGCGTCCTCACGTCACTCTAAAGTTTGGAATGACACTGCCTGAGAAGGTCATAGGTCATTCCGATTGCTCTCTAGTTTCCTGTTCTCCCGTCTTGTCTGATGTTGCCTTTTCCTCAGGGGCTGGGGTTGAACCAAGGATCTTACTTCTCCTACGTGACGATGTCAGCCACTTGTTTTCCTCTCTAGTCTTTATTCCAGGAGTAATTTCCCTTCCAGCCAGACTATCTAGGGTGCTTTGGGGACTATCTGAAACTGAAGCTAGATTGTTTATTATGTTGTCTCGCCTTGATTTGCTATTGAGCTGTGTATAGATTTCTAAATATGTTTAGAACTTGTGCTCCTTTGGTCCCATTTAGAAGACTTTAGGAAAAGGCACACATTTTGCCCCCAGCCTTTTCAGTCTTCCGGTTTAGTCCTAAGTGGCATAGAAGTAACATAGATAGGTGGTGGGCAGTCAACATCTAGGGACCTTACTGGATACATGGCTTTTCCAGACCTTTTGTGGGGGGCTCTTGGAGTCAGGTGCAGTTTCACCTCTTGCAGCTTGAGAAATTGGTGAAGAGACACCAGATTATACGGTCAGGACAATGTTTTAAATCAGGGTTAGGTGGCTCATTCCATCACAGTAGCACACTTGGGTCTTTTCTATGGCTTTGGGGTGGTTTGGATTAAAGTGAGAGGTGACTGGCTAGGTCAGAAAGGCTCTGATCTGGCCACTAGCCTCCCTTGGGCCATTACTTGGCTGTGCAGAGTAGAGGTATTTCTGTTTGCTGTCACTTATAAGTCAGGCAGGTAGTGCCTCTGCTGAAAAGATCAGATAATTCTTTCACTGTGGCCCCTGTGGACCTTATTTTATAGGGACAACCTTTGTCATGTATGTTCCTGTCAATCAGCCTGCTGATGGCTAAGCCCCCTGCAGTCTTGGCCTACTCTGTCTCCTCTGAAGTCCCAGGGCTGGGTACACATGGACAGATAGCACATGCTCACTGAACATACACATCTTAAAACTGCCCTGTCCCATGAAGCACAGTGGCACACACTTTAGGAGATGAGTATGAGGCTAGCCTTGGCTACATAGTAAATCTCCATTTCAAAGGAAAACAATCATTCTTCCTGGTTTTCTCATTAATGCATCTTATATTCATGAACTCACTGACGTTATCTGTAAAGCTTGTCCACACTTGGTGCTACTAGATAAGTTCCCGAGCAGTGTAAGTCTCCATCTGCTGGGTAAATGGTGTTTTCTCATGTGTTGTAGAAGTGTTTCCTTTAGGTTCCCAGGATTTCAGCCTCTGTGTGTGGTTCCCAAAGAAACGAAAAATAGAACCACCATGTGACCCAGAATCTCTTCCTACTGCAGACCCAAAGGAAGTAGACAGTATAGTACGGGCTCAGTCCCGTGTTCTCTGCAGCATGGTTTAACTAGCCAGCCTGTAGAGCTACTTGAGTATGCACAGGCAGGCGAATGGGGGAAGAAATGTGATGTGTACACACAACAGAATATTGTTCAGTTTTAAAAGGGATCCCCTGCTGGGCTGTCAAGATGCTCAGTGGGTAAAGGTGCTTGCTGCCCAGCCTGACTGACAACCAGTTTAATTATTGGACTCCACGTGGTGAAGGAGGGAAGCAACTCCAACAGTTTGTCCTCTGACCTTCATTATGCAGACTGTGGCATGCACACATCTGCGAGGGTGTATGCACACAGACACACACACACACACACACACAATAAATAAACGCAAAACCCTTTGGGGGTGCCCTGCATTGGCCACAAAGCCAGCACATTCAGCATGTTCTCATGTGTATGCAGGCTATAAAAACTGAACTTGTGGAACCAGCGAGTAGAATGGCAGGTGCCAGTTGCTCATGGGGACAAATACACAGCCGTGAGTACTGGAGATCCACTGCAGCCTGACACTTGCAGTTAATAACACATGCATTAGAAATTCGGTAAGAATAGACCTGACGTGTTCTCGTGGCACACCGAAGGAACTGCTAGGAAATGCATGTGCTAATCTACTTGACCATAAGGACCCTTTTACTTTCTATATGTGTGTCAAAACTTTATGCACTTCTTAAATATATGAAAAAAATTCATACAATTATCATTTGAAAACAATGCCTTTCTTTTTTGTTCATGTTTCAGGAAGGCGATGTCTGGCCCAACTCATCAGCTGATATCACTGTGTACTTTAACCCCCTAGAGGCCAGGCTCTACCAGCAGACGATTTACTGTGACATTTCAGGTATGAACTCGCTTTGTGTGGTAACCAAGTTACCAAGTTCTCGAAACATATGTATATGTGTGTATGTGTGCGTACACATGTGTGTATGTGTATGCAAGTATGTGTGTATACATGTGTATGTATATTCACGTGTGTGTATAGATGTATGTGTATGTGAGTCCATGTGTGTATGTATGTGTGCATGTGTACATGTGTAAACTATATGTGTATGTGTGTATATGTGTGCGTGTGTGTGTACAAGAATGTGAAGATTGTAGACTAAGGCCACTGAAGGGCAGCCAGCCAGCTGCCCAGATCCCACCCTCCTCCGCACCTGTGAAGTCACGTTCCCCAGCCAGCCTAAGAATGTGCAGCAGGATGGGCTGCCAACCCAAGACTGCCAGCCTCCCCGTGAATGTGCCTATCCTCTTAAACGTTATGGGGATCATTTTCTTGCTTTCCTGTGTAAAGTTACCATCTGCATATTCATCCCTAAGCAAAAGTGGTCTTGGTTTCCTTTTTCTTGAAATTCTGTGTGGGATTCATGCCATATAGAACCTATGTTGCAAGCACCAAGAACATAAATTTGTTTCATAAATGTTCAGTGAAAAAGCAAATAATTGAAACAGAAATATAAGCAAATGGGTAACCGCATTCTGCTTTGACTGGGTGATTCACTGCACATGGAGGCGGGATGCTCATGACGGCCCTGCCACGAGTGCGGAGCGGATGAGGAGTTTTGGATCGGCAGAAAGCTCCTTCTGTGCCACAGCCCAGCGTCCAGGACACCTGGCTTCTTAGAGGATCTGCAGGAAATGTGTGGGAGGGTGGCCGTGTTCAGATGCAGACTGGAAATATGCCAGTATGTGACCCCCATGCCACAGGTGGTGGGACCTCCTCCAGCTCCCTGGGGACACTGTTCTTGGCATGGGTCCAGGGGGCTGGCTGCTCTCCAGGAGGTTCCCAAACAATGCATCACGAGTTGTATGCATCTATTGTTTCCCGTGGTTCCAAATTCTCCCCAGCATTCTTCTCCCGGGTAACCCGAATGGAATTTTCCATCTGTGTGACAGTCTTCTTTACCGTGTTAGTCATTCCTACCCGATGCAGTTGCCAAGGAAGGGCTCTGTTTACATAGTAATTCCGTATTACCATTCCTGTGAGCTCCGTGCAATTCTGTGTCCTTTGGAGGGCTGTTGATGATTGCTGGCTCTTATCGTCAACCAGCTGGCAAGACCCCCTGGTGTTATGTCACGTTACGAGACGTTTGCTAAGTGGATAGAAAAGCTCTTCCCTGCTGGCTTTCCTTTCGGGTTGCCTTTGCTCTAAGCTACTGCAGTACTTGGTTTTCTCACCTCTGCAAAATACCTGACCAAAGCAATGTAAGGGAGAAAGGGCTTGAGAGGGTACAGAGCCCGTGTCAGTGAGAGCAATGTTGCTGAGACTCCTCACATCTCCACAGACCAGGAGGCAAAAGACTTGGGCTGGAAGTGGGGCCTGTAACCCACAAAGCTTGTTCCCCAAGAATTACTTTCTCCAGCCAGGAACTTCCTAAAGGTTCTAAAAATCACTGATAATAAATATAACAACAACAACAACAACAAAAAGCAACAAACCTGCACCAGACCAAGTGTGAGTCCATGGGGGACATCTCACAGTCAAGCCCCAATGGTAACTATGTTCCTAGAAGCAAGTTCTGATTACTTTTCACACTTTTTAAAGAAAGAAGTGTGTGTGTGTGTGTGTATCCGTGTCCAGAAGAGGACGTCAGATTCCCCTGATGCTGGAGTCACAGGTGTTAGGAACCCAACTCCGGTCCTCTGCGAGAGCAGCACGTGCTCCTCACTGCCGTCATCTCTCTAGTTTTATCAGTTCTGGAAAATTCTCATCACCTGCCTCTTCAGTGTTGCCTTCTTATCTTTTCGGCTCTCAAGATGATTGTAGAATTTATCTCTTCTTCGGTCTCCTTGTCTCTGATTGATTCTGTTTTCTATTGGATTTTTATTGTGTTTATCTACACGTGTGTGTGTGCATCTGACACAGCGCACGTGTGGAGGCCAGAGGACTGTGGAGCAGCCAGTTCTCTCCTTTTGGTCCCGGGGATCAAACTCGAGTCGTCAGTCTAGGCAGCAATTGTTCTTACACACTGAGCCTGCTTGCCAGCCACTATTCCGAGTATTTTATTCTAAGTTCTTTCTTCTATTTGACTAATTATCTCTTTAGCTATGTCTATTCTCGGCATACTCATCTATCCAATTTTAAATTTTCATTGGATTCATTTTTAGAAATCATGTAATTTTATATTTATATATTTTGTTCTTTCATTGTTGTTTCCGTTTCTTATTATGCCTCTTCAATTTTTTTGAGAATGCTATGTTACAGTTTCTTTAAGAATTTTCTATTATGTCCTTCTTGGGCTGCTTGTGGTAGCCCCCATTTTCCTCAGCAACATGACTGTTCCTTCAGACAGTTGGAAATGTTTGTACTGTAAAGTCATTGAGCATGGATACTGGATTTTGAACACTCTCTTGAGTAGGGATTTTGTTGGGTCTTCTTCTACTCTTCCACAGTCAGCTTCTGCTCCTGGAACCTGTCTGGTGCTGTGTTAGTTTGGATTGAAAACCTGCACCTGGGCCTTGGATTTTTCCCAGGAGCCTCTTCCCCTTATCAGTCTGCTGGCTAGATGACAGGCCTCATCAGCCCATCCTAGGCCAGGAGGTAGAATTTTCCTGGGCTTTGTTGTTGTTGTTGTTGTTGTGTTGTTAGAGGAAGATTTTCCAGAGTTCTGGGTTTATGCAAAGATCTTGGTTCAGTTCTCTGTTCCCAAATAAAAACAAGTCCTTACACCTTCTTGGTGTGAGGGTAAAACAGGAGCCACCAGACCATAACACCTGTGCCTACTCTGCAAAGTACTGGACTTTCTTTGACTTAGTTTACTAGGCTTGGGCGCTCTTCATTTCTGATATCTGGTATTGTCCTTCCTTTATCACGAGATTAGATAAAGACCGTAAGGTATGTTTACCATGTTTTTAATCAGAGGTATCTACTCTTTACATATGAGGCGAAAGAACAATCTGAGTTAGTAACCCTGCCTTGTTGGCAGGTCACATAGTTAGCAATCTTCATGTTTTTCAAGTGGGTGTCCTTAGAGAGCCTGCACCTGACCCAGGTCTGGTCACTCATTACAAATGTAGATTCTTGGGCTTCATCTGTGTTTTCTTGAAGCAGAATTCTGAGAAAGCAGTGCTGGAGACTACATATTTAAAATGAGGACCAGAAAGCAATTCCAACAAAGTTGCAGGATAAAAATTCATTTCCAGAAAAAAAAAATGGGTTGTATTTCTATATGCTAACAGTGAACAGTGGGAAGCTGAAGTTTCAATATTGCTTAAATCGCATTAGGAATATAAATTACTCAGGGGTAAACTGGACAACCTGCAAGACCTGCACGGTGAAATGGATGAAGCATTGCGGCAATTACAGACCTGCACACATGGAAAACCATACTGCCTGCAGTTAGTGAATTTAGCGCTGTTCCAACTGTCCCTCCCTCCCGCTCTCCCATTTGTCTGTAGATTTGCTGCGAGCAAAATAATAATCTCAACTGCTTTTTAAAATAGGAATATACACATTGGTTCTGAAATTCCCGTGGAGGGCCTGGAGAGATGCTCTGTGGGTAAGGGCGCTGGTGCTCTTGCAGAGAACCAAAGTTCAGTTCCCAGCACCATGCAAGATGGCTCCCAAATGCCTGTAACTCCGTCTCCAGGGGGATTTATCATCTGTCTAGGCATCTGCTGGCACCTGTGCGCACTGTCTCTCCCTCTCTCTGCCCCTTCTCTTCACACACACACACACACACACACACACACACACACACACCTAAAATTAGTAAAAATAGATGTCTCAATTTCCCATGGAAATGCAGAGAACCTAGATTACCTAAAATAACTTAGGGAAAGTCTGAAGGGAGAGAGCTGCTCTGCCTGCCTGGCTTCCAGACGTCTAACTGCAAGGCTGCCATCTTTATACTCTGTGCCCATGAACTGTAATGTAAATGGTAAACAATATGCTGAAGATTCTGAAAATACCACCAAATTGGCCTCTGGCTAGAGCTTGCTCTAGGTAGTTGGCAGAGGGCAGCAACAAGATACATAAAGGACTTAGATTTTCCTCAGAGAGCGATATGGGAAGATGAGCCAACAGACACCCTAGGTTTTACCTAAGGAAAGTAGGAGGCCCCTGTGTCTCCACAGAACAGAACAGGCCAACGGCAGCAGCCCCTTTGCATTTCTTTTACACAAGGCCATGCCAGGGAATGTAGGGGCTGAATGCACAGCTTGCTACTTTGGTCAGTCCAGGGGCCTGGGAAAATACCACAGATTAGGTAGGTTATAAACGAGAGAGACTTTACGCCCCCTGATTTTGGAGGCTGAACATGTGAGATCAAGGCAGCCACTAAGGGCTCTTTTCTCCCAGCACCATCTTGAATGAGTCCTTACCCCATGGGGGTCCCTCTGGGCTCTTTTGTAAGGACATTGACTTCATTCTTTCTGAAAGGTTCCCTGTTTGTCGTCTATTCCTCTCCCCAAATTTCCACTTCTTAATCCCTTGGAGATGAGCATTTTAGTGAGTGAATCTGGAGGCTGGGAGCAGGGGGAGACATGACAGGCATAGCCGATAACAAGCTTTTGGAGACCGGTGCTTTTCATTTTCTGGTAATTAATGCAGTGAGGTCTATTGTCTTTAGTGATTTCAGGCTCATTAAATGTACCCTGTGGAGCATCCCTTTGTCTCTGATGAGTAAGGCCAGCTTACTCTAACCATACACAAGAAGCTACAGTTATTTTTTAAATGCTTTAGGATCTGGCTTGTCTAGGAAAGAGTTTGTTCTTACAGTTTACTGCTCTTCCGTGTTTGTTCTTCTGGCTGCTTCTTGCCAATACAAGAAAAATATCTGCTTAGAAAATCCTGTGAAAAAGGAACATTTGTAACATGACCCTAAGATTTAGACAGACCCCTAG